TCATTTAAAATATCACTTGCCGTAACTATGCAATTTTGTAATCTGTAGAAATATTGTTACATATTCTTATGTGAAGCCTTTTCTTGTCACCATGATTTCATTGCCCAGTTGGACAACCTGGTGTCTCCACATCCCATCAAAGTGCCTCTGGCTTGTGGTTCACCCTTCGTCAGGTGTCACGTGCATATAGTACCGTCCTCCTCTGACCCCTGACCTCAGCCTCAGCGTAACACCCCCACCGTGCAGCGCGCTGGAGGCAGGGAGCTGTTGATGTATGCACTGCTGTCACGTGTACTCCACTGTATGCCCGCTCCTCCTGGAGAAAGCGCCGTTAATAACCATGTGTGGAAGCATGGAAAATCATTCAATTAACTTGTTCCTAAGTTAAAAATCAGTTTGAACGTTTTTCATTTTGTGGCAGTGATGAAATAAGAGAGCAAGAAGGAAAAGAAGATGAAGAAGGGAGGAGTCAGGGCTCCGTTGTTTGTATCTTCCGATTCAAAGTTTAGAACACTTTATTTTTCATCCTCGTACTTTATCTCCATCCTCCCATCTTCTTTCCATCCGCTCATTCTTCTCCACTCTTAGATATGGCGACTGACAGTCAGGCCGGTGGGCAGGAGAGCCCGCTGTGCCAAAAGCCATCACGTCACACACACTCCGTCCACCTGAGCATCCAGGGCCCCGACCTCAGTAACCGCGGATGTGGTCAGAGGAAGCGCGCGCTGGGCGACAGGTCTGGAGGATTCTGGGTCACGGCTGGGAGGCCTGATGAAGATGAGGTGGGACACAGACACCGGGGCCTCTTCACCGCTCACTGGTCAGCACACCGCGGTGCTGGAGTGTGTGTGTGTGTGTGTGTGTGTGTGTGGATCAGGGCTGATCTGAGCTGATTTTGTCACCTCGATGCTCTCTCAGGAGCATCTCCTGACAGGCCATCACACCATAAGCAGGAGAAGGACCAGGGAGGAGGTGGGGGTAGAACGCAGCAGGTCACAGGAAAGGGATGTCACTCTCTGTCCCGGTCACAAACTGTCCATGATGATCAGAGGAGACGCAGTTGCTTCTGGCAGGACATTGCACTTTGGGTGGGACACCAGCCCCCACTGTTGTTTTTCTAATGGTTTGAGCTTCATGACGGGTGATGAAATTCTAGCAGTTTTTCAGCATCTCTAAAGAACTGAAGTACTTCGACAATGTTTCATAGAAGTGTTATGCACAGTCTTTATACTGTCTATAAAATATATTACATTTAAATTAGAATCCAGTAGAATGTTACTTGTGAGTTCTTTGGTATTGTTTTGTTTTTCCTGCCATCCCAGTGGTGAGAGCAGACGAGGGCTGTGTATCATCAGCTTTACTAGAAAAGTGATGGTTATATTATTGCATTACATTAATAAGAAGGCAATGGACAAACTAATTAACAGCATAAAACAGTATATTCATGATCTATTTGCAGTACGTGATAGAAATTTTGGCTGCTTTTCTTGCTTGCCGACAACTACTCACATAAAGAAATGTTTAGGACCCAGTCGCATGGTGTAGTTTTATTTTTGGCATGAGAGGCCTGCACATCAGGGTGTTCCCCAAGGTTCAATTCTGGGGCTTCTCCTGTTCAACATCTACACTACGAGTCAAATGTTTCAATTAAATCAGAGTGTGAGAAAGTGTTTAAACTTTTGACCGTCCCGGTTTCCACCAGCGCGATTATGGAAAGGAGAAAGACAACACACGAGGCGCCATTTTTAATCTACAACACCGTCGCAACAATGTCACCGCGCAGCATTACTTTACCGTGTACGTCCTCCATTGTTGTTTGCAGTTAGCTTTCAGTTTTCGATCGAATGACTTCAATCTACTTTCCGTCATATACTACGCATATCAAGTGACGTCATCACCACTTTCTGGAATACACCACGCCTATCAAGTGAGGGTACTGTTGGCGGTGGAAACGCTCGCCAAATCATGGTTAACAGACCCGACCTGTACCGCTCGGTGGAAACGCACCATAAAAGAACAATAATGGAAGAGGAGGAACGACATGAAATCCAGTTTCATAACCATAGAGCTGGTTTGTGGGTGGAGGATGAGGGAGGGGGTGTCATTTAGGTAAAACACACACACACACGGGAATTATGCTCCCCCATCAGCACGCCATTTACATCTGGGTTCAGTGGGTTGGGAATGTGTGTCCATTGTTCTTCAGTCTTCTGTCCATCTTCAGGAGAGAGCTCTCCACGGCCTCAGATTACCCAGACACCCCTGCTGCTTCACACACTGCTGCAATTCACCCCAGTCTTTTGGCATCCTGACAGGGGACACCGTGGGCCGGTGGAGGAGAACACATGACCTCTGGAGAGGAGGCAGCACCGGAACACTTGCCCCTGGCATAAGTGGTCGAGGTGGTCAAAAAGGTGCCGTGTCGCTTAAGGTGCTGGACTTTGTTGGGCTGTCATGACCAGATTTTTCAATGTGGCATCGGGGCCGGAGAACTTCTGCAGGAACCTCATGTGGAGAGGAGGATCTGCCGATCCAAAAGGAGCAGTGCAGATTCCGCCCTGGTTCTGGAACATCCACATCCACCGGGAGGCTTCTCCCCAGGTCTTTGATGTGCTGCTCGCAATTAGGAGTTATTTAGGGCTAAGATTTAATCATTGAACATGTTTTGTCAATGTTAAACCCATCGCAAGAGGGGGATGAGGTTGTGCCCCTCCCCATCCTCTTCTTCATGTTTATTCACTCCATCTTCCCTGGCAAGGTTCCTTTGGCCCCTCAGTCCTCATTTCCTTTGTGATGAAGACCTCCTCACACCAGACCAGAAACACCTCAAGCTCTCTCATGTGCACCCAGCTCTTCAATAATAAATGGGTGCTTCCATTATGAGCTGCTCGGAGCGTTGGGTCACAATCAGTCATGCTACGGAGAAGTCAAGCTGACAGGGTGGCACCGCCACCATGAATACCCATGAACAGCAGATTGGTCAAATGCCTTTTATGGAAGTTTTATCCATTCATGTGAACAGTGAGAATATTGAGTGACTGCTTAAGTCGGGTGTCTAGAGGAGGTCAGGGCGCTTGTGAAGGGCTGAATGATACCAGAACATTCCCCGTTTCCTGTGTAGTTTGTCTCAGACTCCTTTAGCCACGTATGATAGTGGTTTGGTGTACAGGTCAATTAAATACATTTTGATGCTGTACAGATCTTGAAGCCCTCTTAGTCAAATGTACAAGCCTTTCAGGAGTTAAGAAGAGTATTTCAAGTGAACATGTTAAGATTTACAGTATAAATGTGCTGGATTCAGCGGTCAATAAAACTTTCCTTTCAAAATTGGCCAAACCGAACACAAAGCTACGGTACGGTTCACATTTTAAGTAATTATGTGTCAGATTTCAGAGCGAACGCAGTCCTGCTTCCAGACTAAGGAATGGAGGAACCCAAGCAAGCCAACTTAATTTCTCCACTGGTTAAAAGAGCAAAAAGTGCCTCGAAAACAGTCAGAAGATGATGATGAGCATGCAGAAGGAACTCAACGTGCAGCTTTAGCCTATTAGCTATAGGCTCCTTGCATGCGTACTAACCTATATGTACAGAGCAGCTGGATTCTGGAAATACTCGTCACGCTCTGGACAGAATAGTCGTTGCTTTCTAGAAGTCAGACTCTCGAGATGATCATGAACATTATGAGGCAGAAAATCAACTTTTTTTCTAAATATAAAATTGGAGAAAACAGCAGCTATTATACCCCACCTTGTGTTAGTTTTTATAAATATGCAAACCTTGACAGATTAGGTTTCTAAAAATAGATTCTAAATAGTTTTAAGTAAAAATAGTAGGGACTAAACAACTGGTTGCAAGGTACTAAAATGAGGCAGCTAAACAATACGCAGACGATTAAGGAGCAGATGGCGGCTCACCGAGCTCCAATTCTATATTAATATGGACGGCCGTGTATAATTCATGGGGCAGCATTACTAGGGAGTGCTGGTCCCAGGTCTGCTCCACGCACCGACACAGCGAGTACTAACAATACTGGACATCCCTCGCTCTCCGCTGCCCGTTATAATATATTCAAGGATTAAAGGGGTTTTATCTCAGAGACCAATAAATTATGAACGGAGCATTTCAAAATTTAATTGCCCCGAATTAAATGATTCAAGATAATGTTTCTTTTATAAATTGGTAATGGGGCCAGGGGGAGGGCAAAGAAGGGGAAAACACATGAAAGAAAGTCTTTTAAAGCGCAACAAAGGGAGACATGAGAGGAACAATAGAGGGCCGAGGACCTGGTGTCTGTGGGAGGATACGATGGGTTAAACATTACACACACACACACACACACACACACACACACACACACACACACACACACACACACACACACACACACACACACACACACACACACACACACACACACACACACACACAGGCTGGCGAGGGACACAAACGTGATCTGCACGGTGGACTCACACAAACACACTGCTGCAAACAGTACACCTGCCTGTTGAGCCAAGAGCCAGCCAGCATGCACGTGCACGCATGCAGAAACACAGCGCAGATGTTTTTAGAAGCAAGAGGTCGCGTTTTCAACGGAGGTTGTCGAAAGAACACGAGTGCGTAAAAAAAAAAAAAATACAGATGTGTCATGGAAAAGAGCTGACGCCACAGGCGTGATAAGTATGTGAGGTACAGAGTGGTCATCTACCAGCGCCATCAAGCCCTCAAGCTTACAGGTCAAGTCGCAGTGAGCCCGGGTCTCTTTAGGGGTCCCAGCAGACACCAGGCTTCCGTAGCTCACATTGAAGCAGACTGTGGTTTATCCGTCTCCGACGGACCAGGCGCTCACTTCCTGTGACAGTACAGCTCGCCGGTACCGACCCATCTCTACTCCCCCGACGGAACAGAGGGTGAAGGTTGTGCTGTAGCTGCAGACAGTGACCCTAGAAAACAAACCGCTGTCCCTGAGCTGCTGTAGCGCTGCAACGGACACTCCAGGTGACGACGTTTAAATTTCACTTTATTTATTCCAAACCTCATTAGTGGTTTGTGTGAACGGGTTGAACTGCATAAGCACATCTGATGGAAGATGATTGACAGCATCGCACGTTTCCCTCCAAGCTGCAGAACTCCGTTATACATGATATCACTACTGACTGTCATATACAGTTCGGGTTGTTGTGGCCACCCGTACATTTAAAACCAACTACGGAGAGGAGGCGCCTACACAATGTTTCCGTATTTAGCATACAGAGTGTGGGGCATATGGCTTTCTCTGTGATCAGTGAGCCGTGTCTTTGGGTGGTGACCCCACAGATCATCGCTGAAACTTACATTCACAAACATACGTCTTAATAAAACAAAGATTCTTCAAATGGTGGAAAATGTACAAATTTGATGGTAAAAAGCAACAAGTTCTTTAAGAAAGGAAAAAACACATTTTCCATTTTGGCCGGTGACTCCAAACGCCACCAGAGGTGGTGAGCATTTTATGTCTAGCCTGGAAAAAGAGAGCAAGTGTAGCAGTGAAGGTCTCAACGGAGGGAACACACACGATTGTCAGCTCAAAGCATGCTGGACGTTACACACGTTGCTTTTGGGGCGAGAACGTTCGCCTTCTTTCCCCGCTTTGTGGCCCCGTCCTCACCGTCTTCCTACGCTGGAGCGTCCCGGAGGGTTTACTGGGAAGTTTCAGTAAACAAAAAGGGGGCTGGTTGGGAAACACAGTGGCAGCATTGTGAAACTAGATCAGCAGTGGAACACAAGAAACAACGCGCCAATATCAACAGTCCACCAACTTCAGATTCCATTTCTCAGCTTCTCTATTTTTGAGTCGTTTAACAGACACAAGTATAAATAAATAGCATCAAGCTGTGGCATTAAGGGGAATCTATTTATTCACTGCTCTCTTTGGGATCCTCTTCAGTTCTACTAGCACTCGAACTTCCAGTAGAGTCCAAAGTGGAATAAACAGCTCTTCTGGTCTCCCCACTGGCCTCCACCGGAGCGTACGCTTCCTTCTGCCCGTTGACGAGGCCACTGAGCTCTCCCCCCTGCGTCTGCTGGCCCTCCTCCACCTCTTCAAGCTCATGCAGGACAATAGGAATCTTTGCATCGTCAGTGTTCTCCAGCAAAGCGATGTCGCTTTCCTCGTAGCGAGGCAGGGCGGCGCCGTCCTCCAGCTTCTTCTCAAAGTGCAGACGTTTGGCACGCCCGCTGGCCGAGGCCTTCTCCAGGATCTGCTTCTCAGCCAGGCGAAGCTGGGTCGCCACGCGGCAATGGAGAGACAGGTCCGGTTTGTCCAGCATGGAGCGGTCCTCCTAGAAGAGACCAGCGCAGCTCGTAATATGTCAAAGAGCAGACAGAAGTCACATGGGCCTGTGACACCTTTTGAAGGCGCTGAATGCAGCCAACTGACCTGGGAGCTGGTCTTGTAGGTCTTGAGGAGCAGAGCAGCTCGCGTCTCCAGGAAGGTCCACAGCTTGATCTCATTCTCCCAGCTGACCGGGAACTCGCTGTTACCCAGAGTGAAGATCTTATTGAACGCTCCGTCTCCGAGCAGGTAGTCCTTCAGTTCCTCTGAAGACAAAATCAGATGAACACGGCTGAACACTCAGAGTGGAGCTTTTCATGGCTCAGAACCTGTGGAACTTCAGAGCCAAAATGGACCAATGTAGTCTGAAAAAGTCCCAAAATGAGACCGGATTCAATAAGACCAGAGGACTCTCCCTACACGAGCAGGTGCTACTGCCTCGTCTTACCCAGAACCCGACTCGGGGTAATGCAGCTAAAAACGATGCTAAAAAGTCAACAAAGGGTCGGTGAGCTGGCGAGCTACAAAGACAAGGTCTCTGATGGCTCTAATAATACAGCGCGTATGGAATATTGTTGTCGGCTACGCACAACTCAGTATCTCTGGAGCTAAAGCAACAGGTCTGCAGAGGGACCTTTGACCTGCTTATCAAACACCGACGCCTTCATTTGACTTTCAGAAGAAAACCAGATAACTCGTATTTAGTTATTGTGATCAGCTGGTCTGGAACTGGGGCAGGACCAGAGGGAGACCGAAGAGAGCAAGTTGAACTCGGCCGGTCACTCGACAGCTGGAGGGAACGAATGCAAAGTGTCTCTTGTTGCGTGTGGGCGGTGAAAGGGGCGAGCTGGCGTGTGCACGGGCCGCCTCCGTGTCACATCTGTTAAGAAATGTCAACGCACAGGCCAGCAGGAGATGATACCTCCCCCACGCACATCCAAAGGAGAGCGTTTGAAAAATGAACATGCAGTGAATGATATATGAGGTGGGTGGTGAAGACGAGCGCTGCGACGGAGAGGGCGTGGCCTCGTGGTCCGCATACATGCCGATGAATACTGTAAACCCCCTTGTGGATGCTCCCTCTGTACACCTGGTGGCCTGCCTTGATCGATCATCTAGCCCAGAGGCTGGCTCCCTCTACCTCCTCGCAGGACCATCACAAACTGTGGGCCGCCATGTCTGTGGCATCGAGGCCCAGGGCGTCCGTGTGTGTGTGTGTGTGTGTGTGTGTGTCTCCTACCCTCGGTCATGCAGAAGACTCTGAGGAACGCGAGGAGCTGGGCTGAAATGGGGGGTTCATTACAGTGCAGAGCAAAGATGCAGGACCTGAAAACAAGACAAAGAAACACTTTTAACAAGAATACATACAACACAACACCCGTTAGAAGAGTCCTCCAGTGCCACAATGAGCTAAAAGGTCAGAAACATTATGCAGGTAACAGAACCATCCAACACCATTAACATCCATCTCATGATTGTGGAGTCAGGGCCTAGTTGGCCCAGCTCAGATCACACACTGGGCACAGTGGGACAGACAGCTCGGGTCAGTAGGGTGCATGCATGGGCCCCTTAACCACTTTCAATTCATTTTATTTTGTAGAGCCCAATCTCGAAAATTACAAATTAGCCTCAGAGGGCTTTACAGTCTGTACACATACGACATCCTCTGTCCTGAAACCCTCACACAAACTCCCAAAAAAATGAAGAAACCCTTGTGGACTTCAGGCGGTTAAAGACTGAGGAGTAGAGAGTGTGTACAGTGACGGTCATCCAGTACGGAGCGCTTTGACAGAGCAAATCCCCTCCACGGACTCATGTCTAACCAAAGGTTTTCAACCATGACTCCACTATATATACAGTCCCTCTACCACATGTCTGTATTTAACTAAAAACCACCACTAATTTGCAAACTTTGTAAGTGTGTATTAGGGCTGTCAAATTTGCTTAAAAATGACGTTTGAAAAACAACGCATTACCTACACAAAAATAAGACCGCGATCTCTCTCGTATATAGACTAGATAGGCTACAACAGCTTCATTCGTTTGAAAATGCATCGACAAATATGCTTCCTTAGCAGCTTCATTCCACTGAACAGAAATGATTGATGAAAACTCACTTAAAACAGTGAGGACAAGCGCTGAATTTCCTTTCAAAATGATCAATGAGCACATCTGTCAGTTTAACAGAGCAGCGTGGCAACAACAGGGATCGTTTTATTCTCACTGTTGAGATCATCAACAAGAGACTAAAAGGTGTCTGGTTCAAACGAGCAGAGAACGCTGCATACGATGATGAACTGATTAAAATGTTGGGGCCGATGGTAAACTGATACTTGGTGGTGTGGCGGAGGAACATTTATATTACGTGTTTCCAAAAGGTGGAGTCAGTCAGGAACCCGCCCCACTTGCAAAGGCTTGTGTCTGGGTGCAGATCAGTTCAGGAGCAGGACCTACGCTGGGATGCCGGCTCGGGCCAGCACTTCAGCCTTCATGGCGTACAGGCGCTCGCTCTTACTGACGCCCAGCTTGATCTTCACTCGGTCGTGGGCGTTGTCTTGGTAGAAGAAGCCGTTGTGGATGACGAACTCGCCGTTGGATCGCGTGCCGTAGAAGATATAAATCTACATGAAGAAGACATCACTGGTTTATTTGAGATGCATTAAACAGCTTCAGACCAGAAAGAGACACGCTGACATGCACACGTGTGGAATGTTTCTTTGTCCCCGCTGAGGGAGACAAGTAAAACTAAATCCAATGTTATGGGTCTCGTCCCCACTACGTCCTGCAGAACATGGGCTGTCAATCATAGCTAAACTGTTGACCATCCGGGGCCACTTCCTGTGCTGATTAAAGTGGAGGGTCAGCCTGAGGTTCACTGATCTTCAAACACGAACATCAACGCAGCAGTGACGAGCGCAGTACTAGTTTGACAACCTGTTGGTTCTGCTCGTAGTCCTGCAGTGCCACACATTCACAGCGGTCATCCTCCAGGTTGTAGCCGGTGGTGATCTGCACATCAGCAATTACACGGCTCATTAATACTTTTGGATGTCAATCAAAATAGCAATGTGTGTGAGTGAGATAAGGCGTTACCAGTCCATTCGTGTGGTTGCACATGTCCCACAGGGGGATAAGGGCCAGAGTGACCCGGCTGCCGTCCTCAGTCGGGATCTGGTTCTGGCGGGTCATCACAGAGGACACTGCCCACCTGGCACACAGAATCAACGCATCCTGCTTGTTACATGTTCTCCAGTGGCATTGCACGCTGTCGCAAAGAAGCGGCTGGGACCGGTTGACAGGCCTCCACGGAAACATGCCGATACGGAGTCAGAGGGGACGACTTCCTGGTGGACACTCATTAAAGGGACGCTCAGGCCTAGTGGCCTAGCGTGAAGAGTGAGAAAGGACCCGTGGAGCACATGGGGTCAAATAAACCACAAGACCTCGCTTTGTGTTTCATACTGATGACAACACGGTCAGCTCAAATTATATTTGAGAGGTATCAGTTATCCTACCAGCCCTCATATACATTGGGTTGCTGGGCACAATGAATAATATAGTAACCGTAAAGTCAACTGTGTCTTTTTGTTGAACATGTCACTGGGGATGTGTAACGCACCATTAACAGGAAGTGGTTATTTCACACGTTTCTGAGAGACAACGTTGCACAATAGCAGGTACGACTACTTTAAGGAGATGAAAGTTCATGGACTCGTGGGTATTTCCAGGCAGGGAGAATCATTGCATCAGATGAAGATGAAGAGCGAGCAGAAGGAGGATGGTAGACGTAGAGTGGAGATAGAAGGAATAATTCATCAGCTTAATGGAGACTCTACAGTACTGCTGGGCTCTGGTGCTCTATTTTTGGCCATTGTCTACGCGGGTGACGTGGTAGTTACCGAGTCAATGCTGACATGTTAACGCGCCGACCGTCTAGTTGGGTTAATCCAAATGACTGAATTCAATCACACCGTCCCTTCTGACTGCGGTACGTAGTTGATCATTTTTAGGGAAAACAAAAGCTGAAAATGTACTGCAGAGCCTACAGAGTACTGCATGTATTGTTACTGTACACAGCTCCCCCTCAATGATCACATGTCATTTATCGGACGCTTTTATCCCAAGCGACTTACGATAAGTGCATTCAACCATAGGACACAAACTCAGAAGAATAAGAAACTACAAAGTGCAATTTCCTCAAATAAGCCAATTTACAATTTGCTATAGATAAGAACCATTATAAGTCCAATGTAAGTGCTACAGTCAGTTAGTGTGTTAGTGGAGGTAGAGTCTGAAGAGGTGTGTCTTTAGTCTGAAGATGTGAAGGCTCTCTGTGGTCCTGATGTCTTCAGAGAGCTCGTTCCACCATTTAGGAGCAGGACAGCAAAGAGTGGAGATCTAGTGGAGTGTTTTGCTCTCAGTGAGGAGGAACAAGCAGTTTATCACATGCAGAGCGGAGAGTGCGGGTCGGGATGTCGGGTTGGACCAGGTCCTGGATGTAAGCTGGACCCCATGGTCATGAAGACCAGTGGAGCTGCTGCATTCTGGATGAGCTGCAGAGGTGGAATGGCGGTAGCAGGGAGACCTGCCAGGAGGGAGCGTCGCCAAAGTTAACTATCAAGTCCTGGGTCGGAGTCTTTTCACGAAAAGAGAAGTAGTTCAGTCTTGTCGGGGTTGATTTTCAGATGGTGGGCGGATCCACTGAGAGATGTCAGTCAGACAAGCAGAGATCCGAGGGAGGGAAGGAGAGAATTAGTTGGGTGTCATCAGCATAGCTGTGGTAGGAGAAGTCATGCGAGCCAATGACAGCGCCGAGAGAGTTTGTGTAGAGCGAGAAGAGGAGGGGACCCAGGACGGAACCCTGAGGAACTCCAGTAGTAAGAGGACAAGGTTCCGACACAGATCCTCGCCAGGTTACCCGGTAGGTGCGGCCGTCGAGGTAGGACGAGAGAAGGGAGAGGCGGCTCTAGCAGTGTGGAGGTGCTCTGAGACAGGAGAGGACAGGAAAGGAGAGCAGTCTCTGTGGAACGACCTTGAAGCCTGACTGGTGGGGGTCAAGGAGGTTGTTATGGTGGAGATAGGAGAGTTGGTTAAAGATCGCACGTTCAAGGGTTTTGGACAAAAAAGGGAAGAAGAGAGACCGGTCTGTAGTTGTTTTCCTCAGAAGGGTTGAGGGTAGGTTTCTTCAGGAGGGGGTTTGTAGGCGATTGTAGAAGATGTGATGGAATGGGGTCAAGAGAGCAGGTGGTCGGACGGGCAGAGGTTACTAGGGTAAGAACTTGGTTAGGAGACAGGGGGGTGAAGGAGGAAAGTGAGGGCGATAGAGGTGAAGCCAGTGGGACACTAGTAATAGGAGGTGGGTTTGAGAAAGAGGAGCGTATGTCAGCTATTTTCTTGGTAAAGTAGTTGACAAAGTCTCCCGGAAGAAGGGTGGAGGAGGACTAGGGGGTTTGAGGAGGTTGGAGAAGTTTTTTGGGGTTAGAAAATGAAGATTCAATTCTGGATTGGTAGAAAGAGCTTTTGGCAGCAGAGAAATAAGAGAGGAGATTGAAACTCAAGCAGGTCATCCGGTTGTTTATATTTACGCCATTATATTACGGATGTTGAAGTCACCCAGGAGGATGAGCTGAGGGCCATTTTCAGGGAAGTTGGACAAGAGAATGTCCAGTTCTTCCAAGAAATGACCCAAGGAGCCTGGCAGACAGCAAAGGACAACGATATTTACTTGTACCGGGTGAGTGACCGGGGTGGACGGGAGAGAGAAAAGCTCCATTTGGGTGATATGAGTAGACCTGTGCCACCACCCCTACCAGTGGGCCTGGGAGTGTGGCTGAAAGAGAGCGGCTGGGGTGGATGGGTTCTCAGGTGGGATCCAGGTCTCGGTGAGATGATCATTTTAGATGCTGTCTTTGTGAAATGAAGCTCAAGTATTGAGGGAATGCTACAAACAGGAAGAGGAAGGGACATCACGGCCAACTTTAAGCCAACTCAGTGGAGTCAATCCCAGCCAACATCCGGCAAGGGGTACAAATAAAAGTATACTCTTCTTGCTTCTTTCTACTCGTTTGCTCAGTCCAACATGACCGTCATCAAGCCTGCTGTAGTGAGTCAGTTCATTGGGTACAACAATGCATTTGGAAATGAATCATGACATGGAGGAATGGAAATCAAACCGATACAGATTCTCAGAAAACAAATCACCCTCTTAGCGACACACACACACACACACACACACACCTGTAGTCGTCGAATGTGAAGCTGTCCTTCAGCGGCAGTTTGCAGGCAGCAGGGTGAGTCTGGGGATGAAGGAGAGAAGAAATACAAATCAGGATCATCACAATGTTCGCTGTGCTGACAGGGAAACCTAACAAGGAGTCAGGGGGGCACCACCGGGTAGCGCATGTGTGGTGAGACACTCACACACCACACGGTAATTTGTTGTGGCCGCCAGACATCATCAAACTGCTTCAGTTTGAGACGGCCTGAGACGACCTGTGTGTGTGTAACCAGCTCCACAGCACCAGCCATGAGCCAACTGGTGGGCTTGAGAGTGCGGTGGGGAGATTAGTTCAGTGGATGCAACAACAAAATCCTAAAAATGTTAGCTTTAAAAAAAAATATGTATATTGCACTTTTTCGGGGGGGCAAAAGGGTTCATTCTCTTCCATCGCATCCCAAAGTAGTTATTTATATTCTGTACACAAATCTGACAGGCTGACAATCTCTGCTCAAAGTAGAGTCCAAGACAGACAAGGAGCCAAGACAGACAAAACTACTCCACCAGCTTACAGAACTTTGTTACTTCACTGTCCCACGGCCTTTATTTATTTTTCACAAAGAGGAAATGAGAGATCTGGAACAAAGAATACTACAACTGGAGGTTGGCACATTATTTGTTTAGGGGAAAGGCCGCAGTGGTTGTGGCTGTCGCTCTTCATCAGCATGTAGCCGTCTGTGGGGCTGATCATGCCTCCAACACACAGGACAGAGGCGAGGACGGGGGGTGGGGGGGGGCAAATTCAGAGCGAGAGGGGTACTGAGGAAGGTGCATTCAGGTCAATTTAATTCAAAACCAATGTGACAAGATTACATTCCAGGCCGGTCATCTGAAGAAGGGGGGTGGGGGGGGGGGGGGGGGGGGCAGGAGGGCTACAGGAGAAGAAGAGTGTGAGCAAAGATGGAGAGAAGACCCGTCAAAGGCCTAATAGACAGTAAGAGTAAAGACTATTGATTATAGTACAGTCCAACACTTGAACAGAGTATCACTGCGTTGTCATGGCTACCAGAGAACATCAATTCACATGCTACCATAGAACAGTAAGAGCAGCGGGTCACAGGGGGCGTTAATATGATGGGACCACACGTCACCACGACAACTTTAAAGAACACGATTTACTATTGGGTTTTTTTTCTCGGATTTAAGACATCTTCCAGATTATTTTCCAATAACAATGTTGATAATCAAAAATGTTTTTCCCAGCACTCATTTAGGGAGGAGTGCAAGGTCAAAGGGCAAAGCAGAAAGTCACAGGTCTGTTGAGCTAGAGACACACCAAGCACCACACAAGACTCACGCTTTGTTGGTTATGTCCACATGAATGTCAGGAGACACACACATTGTATGTGATTGGATCTTGTATCCTCCACGCCAGTTTAGGGCCGATGGGAAGCTTTTCTTCTATATGTAACAACAAGTATAAAACGTAATGTTCTTCCTGATGATAGTCAGTCTGCTCCTGCCTCTGCAAACGCAGCGCTGATACTTGACCTGTGATCTGACAAATAAATCTAGCAGAACGAGAGAAGTCGTTTGGCTGAATCCTTCCAGTTTCCCAACCGGGCTTCCAATTTTCTTCATGTTCATTTGTTTCTTTATTTCAATGTTTTCTGTTTTATCAAAAACAAATTGATGACAAAATGCAGTATTTGATTAATAAATAATACATATTTCATGTGTTTCCCTTTACTTACGTCGCCATGCTTTTTAAAGTCACTTGACTGGTGGGTAATTCCCTCGGGCGAAGGGGTGATCAGGGTTCATTAACATCTCTCTAACGGAGGGACAGAACTAAAGCCTCAGAGCCGGGGAGAGTCCGTGAGGGGGAGAGAATGGGACGGGACCGAACAGCTGTGGTTCACTGAGACCACCACATTTAGAGTGCAACACTGCCCCCCAGCGCAGTCCACTGGGGTCACACGAATGCATTCATCTTAAGACGTCATGCCCGTTATCTGAGCGTGCACTGCTCACCGTCCAACCACTACAGACACCTGACTGATAGAAGCCATTCTGCTTTAAAATGAGACGACAGCAAAGCCCGGATTTCACTTCACTGCGTTACAGATTAGCAATAGCAGATGACCATCATCGTGGATTCTATTGGTTGGCACATTACTGGACAACATAAGTATTTGAATGAGCAAACTAGAAAGCAGGTGCTGCTCGTCTTCATGTCTAAACATATTTGTTCATTCAGTCATCAGCGATGTCGGAAGAAATACATTTTTTAATTATATGAATATATTGTAAAACTGATTAACCATTTGATCTAAATCAGAGTTTAAAAGGAGCAGCGCCATCATTGACGTTATCAGTAAAACTGAACAAACATCTGAGGTACTTGGTGACTTCGCATCAAAGGCACGGATATGAAATAGTCATTTTCTGGACTTCCATAGGCATGCTCCAAATATATATATATATATATATATGACCTAGATTTACATTAACGGACGGAAATGACAGTCCATTTGTCTTTAATCTGTGCATCCACCCACCTGTACCAGCTTGTAGAAGTAAGCGTACTGGCGTGCCGTGTTCTTATACTGGCTCAGGACGTCCTGCACGGCCTGAGTCCCGAGGAGCATCTGCACCTCTTCCTGCTGGTAGTACAGCGGCGTGTCGTACTCCTGAGGAAGGCTGCGGATGTACGGCAGCCAGGGGGAAGCCGGGTCGGCCCGCTCACACAGCAGGTGGAAGGCCAGCGTCACGTTGCCCATGGCCTGCAGGATCCGGTCCTGGCTGTAGAGAGGACCTGAGACCAAGAGGGACAAGCAAAGTTCTACCAATCTCACAGAACACCTGGGAGGGGGGGGAGGGGCACAGATGTACAAAAGCTCTCCATGGACTCATTTGGCAAATTTCAGAAGTCTTCATTTAAACGTCTCAGTCCAAACTTGTTTCAGTAAATTCTCTTGTGTGGGTTGGGAAGCTCAAACCCGGGACGAGGTGGAGATTAAGGTTGTTAAAAAAGTACGTCCTAACGTCTATTCCTTGACCTCTGTGGAACACGTCACGGGGTCAAGGGGATGGTGAGAAGGATACACCGGTTCCATCGCTTGGCAACACAAATTGCTAACCAGGCAACAACTCGCTGCATTCAGGCAGGTCGACGCGGTGAAGACAACTTGCGGAAGTTCAGCCCGAGCATCGGAAAGGGCAAAGAAAGGGGAACTAAGTGACTTTGAACGTGGATGGTTGTTGGTGTCAGACGGGCTGCTCGGAGTACGCCACAAACTGCTGATCTACTGGGGTTTAAACACACAATGAGTGGTCCCAAAGAGAGACAATATCCAGTGAGCGGCAGGCGTGGGGAAGAAAGCTCCTTGTTGATGGGAGAGGTCAGGGGGGAACGGGCAGACTGGGTGGAGATGATGCTCGTTACAACCGAGGAATGCAGAATAGCCTCTCTGAACGCACAACACGTGGAACCTTGAAGAAGACGGGCTACAGCAGCAGGAGACTCCTGTCAGCCAAGAACAGGAAACAGAGACTACAACTCACCACAATGGACAATGGGTGATTGGAAATACGCTGCCTGGTCCGATTGACGTCATAGGGCACATTGAAAGGTGGGGAAGGTACACAGGTAGACATGGAGGAGACCCGTACTGTACCGAGTGCTCCCAGACGGGCCCCGTTTCCTCAGGGACCTCCAGCACTTAGATTCTATCATCATCTTAAATCCTCACCCAGTACGGAGTTCTGGGCCGACTCCACAGTCATTAGCATCTTTCTGGGAATCCACAGGAACAGTTCCTCTGCCTGCACACACACACACACACACACACACACACACACACACACACACTTTAAGCACAACAACAAAGTTGGTATTTGTTTTTAAAATGTTGTCATTGTAGACTTAAACCTGCAGAACCATACTTCACTTTATCCATTATTCCATCCATTTATCATAACTGCATATTCTGCATTTTGGTTCCCTTTACCCAAATGCATTGGTGTTGGTTAGAAGCAGCGGTTAACACAGAAGTCCCCTTGGAGCCCACAGGGTTGTGGCAGCTTGAGGACCTCCGCCCCTTGAGCTCACCTTGATGTCTCTGGTGGCCCTCAAGCCGTAGCCCTCAGCCCCAAAGTTCCCCACTGTGAAGCTGTCACAGGACGCCCCGTTGTCATGAGCCCAGGACAACAAGTCTGGAAAGTAGTCCTCTCTGCTGCCGTCAAACACCGTCGACATGCCTGGAGACACACACACACACACACACACACACACACACACACACACACACACACACACACAAAATGCAGTTGTATCTTAGCATGTGACCTTCTGACTCTGAATGGCTTGTAGTCTGACTTATGAGAGTGAGTGCTCAGCTGCATGCACGTGCACTGACCCTTTTGTTTTTTGCAAATCTTGTCCACCAGCCCTCTGATCTGGACGTACTCCTCCCACTCTTTACCAGCAGAGGGTGCTGCACTGCTGCATTCTGGGGAAGAACGGTACCATCAACACTTTGAATGACAACATGACATCGCACAGGGTCCATTGCAAATATTGACTCTTATAAATCTGTAATTGTCAATAAAAGCCTTTGGCACTTGATTCCAAATATACTTCACTACAGCATGTGGACAAAACAATCTCAAAACACTGAAGCAGCAAACTTAGTGAAAACCAACACTTACTCTTGGCTGAGGGTGTATCGGCATGATCAATGCTGTTAACGTTAAGCTGGAAAACAACCCTACACAGAGACACTCTGTATTACATCATGCGTCTTCATTTCTACTGCCTACAATCTAGTGACACCCAGTAACGTCTCATCAGGGACACCGTCTTAGACAATAGGTCCTCACGTCTCTTTCCTTTCCAGCTTCCCTCGTCTCTGCTGACATTCAAACTGACGCGGATGGACCTCGTCACTGACATGTTCTTTGAGGACTTCCATGTTGAAGCCTTGTTCTCTGCATTTTGGTCATCTCCATCTTGGCTTTGTGCAATAAGAACCTTCTAGCCAATCGATGCACGGTGAGGGGCTTTCAGTGGGGATTGGTCAAGCTGAACAGGGCGCTTTCAACAAGTGTCAGGCCTCGTCCCAATCCACAGGCACACCACGCAGGGACTGGTCTCGTGTGATCAGACGTTTAGAACGGCAGAGAACTCAAGTCCTAACAGCAACACCCCTCATGTTGAATCCTTTAAACAAAACCACATCAACTGAGTGCACAAGATCACTCTGGAGAAGTACCTGTTAGCCACCTGTCAAACTCAACTATTATAAAGCTAAATCAGCTGTGACTGATGCTGCACAGCTACGGCCACGGCTCCAGTTTGTGCATTACAGAGGACCTTGAGGGAATGAAATCAATGCATGGCACAACCACGTGTCACCCAGTATCTAAATGTGACATGAAACCCATGGAGCGCCTGCCCAGTGCAGTCAAATGAACGGATTAGTGGGAGAACGGTGCAGGTGAGCTGATCATATCACTGCAAAGTGGAACATGTAACAAGGACCATAAGAAACTGGGTAACTTAATAAGATCTAAAGGCTGCAACGAGTTGGGAACGTGGCGATGGGCCTCATCACACAGACGTGCGATGGCTTGAAGGGTTAAGAGCTTCAAGTGCTGGAGAGATTTCTAGTCACGCAAGCAAATCTGCCAGTTTCTGGACAGCAAAGGGAACCACAGAGGGCCGGGAGCCTTTTATGAGCGACTTAAAGACGCATCTCGCCCCGTGGACCTCCAGCTTCAGGGACGTGTGACCACACACACACGAATGAAGCACTCAGAGCTTTCACAGCCACGCTGCCCCGTCGATGGACTTTGGTCACTTTCTGTGGCGCCAAACCACGTCTCTGCACAAAGTTCACTCAGGTTTGCAGACTTGGCAGCTCGGAAATGTTTACTTATGAGCATCCAATGGAGCTGATGGACCTCCAGGGAAGGTGCTGTACCTTCTGTCTGTCTGTGTTTTGTTTGTTTGTGGAGTTGCAGGTGATTGGTGGATGAACTGATTAAACCAGATTGATATTTTCTTCTGTTATTCAGATATTGGTACGGTAGAATATGCGTTTGTCTATGGTCTCGGGGCAGGCTCACCCTGACGCTTATTTCTACCACACTTGTTAATAAATAAGTATTATGGACTATTGGGACAATATAAGTTCACTGAGGTAATAAAGTGACAAGTACGGTCATGTTTGTCTTTGATGCTCTACAGTCAGACTTGTTGTACAACGTAAGTTGGAGCCCCCTGCTGGCTTTTAGAAGGAATGCAGATGGAGGCCAATTCTATGTCGGCTTTACAATTCACAAGTAGAGGTTTTGAGCGCATTCGGTCGGCTGCGGTGCTGCAGACAGCTCTTGTGGACGTGGACAGGTCGTTATCCCAGCAACATGGATGAGAATTTTAGTATTATAAGCCTCGGTCATCAGTGCGGCGCCCCACTTGCTCAATACACTGAGCTCGGTGAAATAAATGATGGGTCCTTCTTGATCGATTACCATCTCGAGTACAGTGAATGGAGAACATTTACCGTGGACAGGATGTAGAGAGTGAAGTGAAACGTACTCTGCAGAAGCTCTGAGATCAGGTTCATCATCTCCTTGGGGGAAACTGCAGCGCTGGCTCCTGAGCCGGACTTCTGGATCTTCACTCGACTCTTCTTCCCCATGGTGCTGGATAGACAACTGGGCCGGGAGGACACACCATTGTAGTGTCAGCGGGACTTATTACAGACACGCGGTCCTTAGCTGCAGGCCCACACTAATGATCGGGGCATGGCCCTGTTGTCATAGTAACGTCATACGAAACATGTTGATGTGAAAACATAAAAACTGCCTGATCCAACATACCTTTTGGGTTTGAATTAACTGCATTCTATAATATAACCTCTATAAAATATTGTTTTTCCTTTCTAAAATAAGTACATGTTACCTCACCTTTCTTTTTTTTTTTTTTTAACTAAAAAACATTATTCAGCATAGTTGTTGTTCCTATTGATTTGTGTTTGGGTTGGTGATGAAGTTGCGCACCCACACGTTTGGGAAGCACAGGTATAGTTAACCCTGTTCATGTGGTTTTAATCACTGACCTGTTTGTTACAGTTAATTCTATTTTATACTGTAGATTCAACATGTCGGTATTTCAGCCCAGTCACGTGACAGTTGGAGGAAATGTAGAACACGTGCAGATCACCAAAGATGGGTCAAAGAATCAACTCTACTTTTTGGAAAGTTTTCAAAATCAGTGAGTCATGTCCAAGGTAGAAACATTATTTAAGTCATTAAAATAACCTGTAGCTGAGCACAGTTAAACCAATGAGTTCCCGTTAAACGTTTGGTTTAAGTGCACTTAAACAGATTTTAAACATGGGGATTCTCTATGAATGATATAACGTTAATACAAGTTGTGTGTTCGGTAGCAGCGAGGTTTGACTAATAGAAGTCCGTCTAATTTCAGCTCCTCTTTGGAAACACGTCGCATGTAACACACGTTCTTTTTCAGCAAACTGACGACACGCATCGGACTAAAAAAAGATCCCGTCGCGACTCCACGCACGCGAACGAGGCTCTGCAACGTTTATCTTCCAGACAGGAGTTAGTGTTATAACCTTGCTAATGGTTAGCAGTGGCCGGTAGCATCTCCCACTAGGCCAGTAGCTAACGTTAGCTTACTAGCATTGGTGGAATCTGAGCGGAGACGTAACGTCGGTTAACAGCGTAACGAGCTCATCCATCTAACGTTAACTTTATAGCTGCTGGCTGACTCGCTCTACGTTACAGCGCTAGCTGTTAGCTGCTAAGTGACACTGGATCAGTGCGAGCTGGAGTGAAGGCGTATCTGCTGGACCGGCAAGTTAACGCTGCCTTGTAAAATACAAGTGCCAAAACACAAAGCTGCACACAGAATTACACTAAAAGCAAGACTGAAATGTACAAACACAGACGATAAGCATTTCTACGATTCAGTAATACCTTATAAGTGACAGCAGCAGTTCCTCTGTTCCTGCAACGAACCCAACCTTGACTGAGGCCCGCGCGTGATTGGAGCAGTGCTGCGTCCCGCCCACTGAACCGAACCCGGCGTTGTAATTGGCTGTGGGGTATTACGCCCACGGAAAAGCCAATAGACTCCAAGGGAGGAGGCGATATATGTAGATGCGGATGGGCCCCTCCCACCACGCTGTACGATTGGACAGTTACTTTTAGTTGCATGAAATGACCACACATGGCAATGTCAGCTTCAACGATTGGCCGACGACCTGCCAATCCTTCCCTTCGCTCCGCCGCGGCCCGGCGTCTTTGTTTGGATGGAGTGTATCCGCAACCTCGCATCTGAACCAGAGAATACGGCCACATAACAACTTCTCATACTTTCATGAGCTTGCAGACATCTCCTCCGCGATGCCCTTTGTTATTATCGCGTACATGTGCTAGTGGTTAGGCTCGGTTGGTTGAGACCCGTGCAGTTCGATGTGACTGTAGCTACTAGCCTCCTGTCTGCATCAGTCGCCTGCAGGTCACGTGCTCTATCCTCCCTCACTGGGAAGACCAGTCGATTCACCCCCAGCCTCGGTTCCTGCTGCTAGCGGGACCAGAAGTGGACCTGTCCACCCTGGACCACGTCAAAGCCCTGCTAACCTGGGACAGGAAGGACGCGGCCACCCTGGAACACATCAAGCCATGCTGGTACTGGGACAAGAAGGACCTTGGGCACACTCCATCCCAGTCAGAGGGACTGGACCCCGCCACTGAGGCCCGGTACCGCAGAGAGGGGGCTCGGTTCATCTTTGATGTCGGCACGCGCCTCGGGCTGTATCCTTCTGCTGGGAACCACGCGCGGCTGGTTAACGTAGCTCTATAGGCACCGCACGTGACCGCACCGGTTCCGTCCGATCCGAACCCTTAGCGGTACCCGTCGTGGTGCACACGCAGCCTTCGAGGCCGCTAGAACCAGCGCACTTTGGCACAATGTGGCGTTCCCGTTTTGTTCTGCTGATGGCCATTGGGACCATTGACCCGGTGCGATGCTCGTTGTGCTGAGTTAACTTAAAACCCTTAACTTCTGTGGCCACAGGCACTATGACACGCTGGCTACTGGCATCGTTTACTTCCACCGCTTCTACATGTTCCACTCCTTCAAGCAGTTTCCTCGATACGTGAGTATGTCGTTCTCCATCCACGGCGTTCTGAGGGCCTCTGTGGGTGGATGATGAAACCTGGTTCCTGCAGGCTGTGTTTTGTCTCCCGAAGCCATTAAACATACTTGTAATTTGTTCTAAATGTTATTCGTTAGATTGCCTGACGCACTCTAATACGGTAGCAGCTGCTCTAACAGCACAGTGACATGCACTATTAATACAGTATATACCCTTTCTTTATGTAGGTGACTGGAGGATGCTGCCTTTTCCTTGCAGGGAAAGTGGAGGAAACTCCAAAGAAGTGCAAAGACATCATCAAGACAGCCCGCAGTCTGCTCAACGACATCCAGTTTGCCCAGTTCGGAGATGATCCCAAGGTCCGTAGCAAGGACGCCTGCCATCAGCGTGCGACTAGAAGTCAAGTGATGGCAAATGAGACGGGTTCAGAGAATTCGTTGATGGGATGACGATCCCCAGCCTTTACCTTTCATGTTATCGTCCCGGTTCCTTTTAACTATTAACCTCAGAGGGAAAGTTACGTTTAACAAACCTGTTATTTGTACATGCACCACAAAGTCACGTGCATCCGTCAAGTGTCCCAACGTCACTCTCCATGGTGCTGGAAACACTGGACTGGAGTAGTTCAAGCCACTCATGTGTAAATACTACGCACGTTAAAAAGATACTAAGCAAAAATGTTGTAAAAACTTGAATTAAAAAAACAGCATTATTTTATTTGTTATTTAAACAAATAAAATAATTTGTAAACAAATATTTATTTAGCATTGGCAGGAGCATTTAGGTATTTACAGTTTATGATCCTTAAATATAGAATTGTAGGATTTTTTATGGGCTGTAGAGGATGTAGCCATAGCTTCAAATGATAGTTTAACATATTTCATCTTTTCATGTGTTATTTAAGGTCCAACATGGAGCAGTGGGGAATCATTGGCAGAAATGGATTATGATAGCTATACTTGCATCAGTGCATGGTCACCTGAAGTTAAGAATCATGTTGGCTAAAAATGAGCCCTAATATTGAGCACCATATTGCACCACGATGTTTCTAGTAGCCCAGAGCGGACAAACCAAACACTGGTTTCAGAGGCCTTCGTGTACTGTGTGTTACCTGAGGGCTTCTGCGGTAACGTCAGTGCTGAACCTGGCTTCCATTTCTGGCATTTGGCTTCTCAGCTGGAGGACAGCGAGCCTCTGAGGGGACAAGAGGGACCGGGACACAACCATCAGTGTGCTGCCCTGTCTTTCCCACACCAACAGAAAGCCAAAGTAGTCACCATGAAGTGCACATGGTTGAATTGACCAAAAACGCCTTAATGCTCTGTGGAAACTCCCCAACCCTCAACGTCAGATACTGAATCTGCTTCTTCTTCTACCTTCAGAATGTTGACAGACTTTTAAGTTGATGTGTGGATGGAGAGCCGGGGGAAGTCTGTCCCCATTGGCCCACTGCACAATGCTTGTCCTTACAGGAGGAGGTGATGGTGTTGGAGCGCATCCTTCTGCAGACCATCAAGTTTGATCTCCAGGTGGAGCATCCCTACCAGTTCCTGCTGCGCTATGCCAAGCAGCTCAAAGGTGCTTCTTTCTTTTTCACCCTTTCTTGGGTATTTGGCAAAAATCCAGTATGCACACTTCTTTCGAGAAAGACTTTAGATCCTGAACGTGTGCCAGGAAAATTCACATTTAAACAATATAGTCCACTAAATGTTCAACATTTTCTGAAGAAATTACATGTAATTAGTTTCAAATTCCTAATGCTGGGTGGTTTGCTGTCTGTGAACTTGATAAAGGTGAGCACTGAGTAGAGTGCCGTTGGTTAGAAAGTTCAGAATCAAGTTGCAGAGGGAGGAAAGAGGCTGATGGACAGTCTGGCATTTCTTTTCCAGGGGACAAGAACAAGGTGCAGAAGCTAGTTCAGATGGCCTGGACCTTTGTCAACGACAGGTGAGCTTAAAAAACACTTTGTGATTGGAATTGAAATGTTGTATGGTTAGCCATGTTGTGCCCATTCCTACTCTTTACTTGGTAGTCTATGACAGGACAGTAAACTACTAGTTTTAGTAGTAGTTCTGTAAGTGTAAACCTTTCCTGTGTGTGCTGTTGCTCAGCCTGTGCACCATGGTGGCCCTGCAGTGGGAGCCTCAGATCATAGCTGTGGCTGTCATGTATCTGGCTGGACGTCTTAGTAAGTTTGACATCCAGGACTGGACGTCCAAGCAATCGTCCCGCCGCTGGTGGGAGCAGTTTGTGCACGATGTGCCTGTTGAGGTCTTGGAAGGTAAAAGCAATTCTGCCAAATTCCTTTTCCTAGTGTATTTAGGACATGATTTTCATACCTTTCAACCTCTTTTCCCCACTCACCTCTACGACAAAGATATCTGTCACCAGATCCTGGACTTGTATTCTCAGGCCAAGCAGCAGATACCTGATGGTGCAATAGGGACTGGTGAAGACCCGCCACCGTTGACCGTACTGCCCCCCACTGCCCCACCTTTGGCCAAGAAAGCTTCCCCTCAGACCAGCCCCAGGCCACCTAGGCCAGCTCAGGTGAATGGGCCACAGTTCCATTCTCTTCCTTAACTTGTGCTTTTTCTGTGTCCGACTGATCCTGGTTCTCTTGTTTTTAGCCCTCTCCCAAAGACGACAGCAAGCCCACTAGTAAGTATGAATGAGTAGATGAAAAATCCATTCATATGTATATATATATCCTGTCATTGTGACATGGTTTCTCTGTATTTGTATCTTTTTATTTTCCAGAACTGACAAATCTGGAACCTCCTCCGCTTCCCCCTCCACTCCCCCCTCCTCCTCCACCCCCGGTCTCCGTAAACCAAGGTGAGTGTCCGCCATTAAAGATCGAGCCTCAGTTGTCCGTTTCTTTTAAACTGCAATGAACCAATGGATGAAATGAATGGCTGGTCAATCGTCCTACTTCCACAATGCTGTACAACTTTTGAGGTAAAAAAAGTAATAATGATTTGGAAATTGATCAGATTGCCCCTCGGTTACCTGGGTAACCGTTTGAGCGTCGCTGGTTGAGTTCAGTGAGACTGATCCTGAAGGCGAGTAGGACAACTTGTCCCTGCTCTCTGCCTGGTCAAGTCAAGACAAGGCCAGTGGCTGGTTTTCCCCACTGGCCCATGAGGTCCGCTTCCATTAACCCACAGTGCGTCACATATAGGGTTGCAAAAGCATATAACAGGGAACTTAAATGTAGTTGAGAACCAGACCACGCACGCTTAGCTCAGCTGGACCCTGGATGCAGCTGGTTGGGAACATCTGCCAGAAACATAAACGAAAACATAAAACGCCAGTTGGGCAACTTATCACACTACAGCAGGGCTATTCAGGCCACACTACTGCATTTGAACTCAAGTTTTGATGATATTACTGGGGTGAATATATTATTGATAAGACGAACAAGCTGCTAGTCATTAACAAACTGACAGCTCATCGTTGGAGAAAAGCTCAATGAATCAGTTTTGAGCTGTGCTGAGTGGGAGACGGGCTACTGCACCGTGGAGGTACTGGCTGGAAAACTGGCCTTGATGTCTCGCCAAGTGAAAAGAACGTTAGGCTAACGTGCTAATGTTAGAAAGTTGGCTGACTGACGCCTCGCAACTCACATCAACCTTGCTGATTACAATAATGGCGTTATCGGATAGAACCGGGTCTGTTTCTCGGTAACTTTTGACAAATCTAAGCGAGAAAACGCAGAAAGACGGTTTCATGGTATCTTATAAAAGCGAAAGAGACGGAATAACGGATATCGAACAGTCCTTCTTTCTCTACTTTACGAGGATTAGTACGAACACACTGGAGACAATGACCCATTACAACTCACATTTATTTCAATGGCCAATGCTATGCTATCTACACCATTCATTTCAATGGCCAGTGCTATGCTATCTACTTCAGCCAAGGAAGCGGCGGTGTAGCTACTGACATAATCGCCAGGGATACAGGACAGCGTAAAGCTAAATGTAAGACAGTGAGTGTGTTGTTGCAGTTGTTTTACCGCCACCTTGCTCTCCTGCTTTTTTTAAATTATTTAAACATGTGGATTCACAAAATGTAAAAAAAAAAAGTTTAAAAGTTGTATTAGAAATGTTTGCACGCATGTCTACTTATGACAAGGTAAATCCAGTTAAATTACCCCAAAATTTCCAGTTAATTCCCATGGAAAGTTTCCATTTTTGAATATTCGCGGAATTTTCCAACCCTAGTGACATACCACCACTGGACAAATGTCCACCAAACACACAAGCTTTTTGAGAAGGTTCCCCTGAGTAAGAGGCCTTCGTCTGGGCAGAGATCCGTGTAGACCTTTACTCTGAACATCAGCAGTGAACATAACTCTGGGGCTTCCTGCTGTACGTAACCGTGCCGTCCCACACCGCTGGGCTTTGTTGTGTTAATAGCAGCCAGTCCAGTCTGCTGGCCGGTCCTAATTCTGACTGCTGTATAGCAGAATCTGGATTAAGTGTCTAGACGGTGCTTCTCTCAGCATGGCTCATCTTTTTTTTCTATCAATAATGGAAGACATTTATTACCACTGTCCAGTGTCAGTGTGCTACGCGCTGATCACAAAGAACCTTTCGGTTTCCAGCTTAATTCGCCTCTCAGGGATCGGATTACTCCACCAAATGAGTTGTTCCTTGTTGTGCTGTTTGATGGTGGCGCTCCGTCACATGAGACGCGTTTGTCCACGCTTTGTCCAGGTCTTTTTGAGTTTACATTCACTGCATCTTTGTCTTCTCTCGCAGACCATAAACCCCCTTCCTCTTACCCACCAGGCCCAGATCTGTCATCCAAGCCACCTCTCCCACCTCTCCCCCATTGCCCACCTCCACCACCTCCTCCACCCATGGACCTCCCCACCTCCAGCTCACTGGTGTCTAGTGAAGGTTACCAGAAGCTCCAGTCCATGATGAAGACCGAGGGCTCCTGTTACACCACTGTACCCCAGGTCTGTGCCCCACCCCTGGGCTATCACCACTACCCTCCTGGCACCACCGCCTACCACACTCCTCCACTCTCAGCCTACAGCTATTTGCTTGCTCCTCCTCCGTCAGTGTTGGGGATGGCCCCTAGTTTGAGTGGTGGGTACCCGCCGCCATCAGCTGCTGGACATAATCCGCTCCCCCCTCCAATGCCCCCTGGGATGCCTCCAGTTAGCAGCCTGAGTCGAGGTACTTGGATGAGATGAGGGAGATAAAAGGCTCCAGTGTTTTTGAAATGTCCAATTTTAATGTAACCAGTGTTCTCATCCAAGTCATCATTTGCTTGGATAATCTGTGTTATTGCCTCATATCCTAATTTAATGTTGATTGGGAGCAGGTGTTCCATACTGTTATCTTTTTATCAGCCTATGAAAAAGAACAGCGGCTGTAAAAGGCTGCTATTTTCTATCGATTTTACTCTTTGCATTGAAGAACATTTCCATTTGATTCATTCAGACATGTTAACTGGTATACAACGCAGTTTTTGTTCTTTCCTTTGTAAAGAAAACCCTTCCGTAACTTAATTGATGTATCTAATGTTGTGAATACAGAACCCCCCCCCCCCTCAGAAATACTGTAGATGTTTACTTTCTTTGCAATAAAACATGATATACCAGGAGTGTGTGACTAATTGTACATCATTTGAATAATTTCCCAGGCGCAGTAATAATACATCTATGTATTACTATTCATTTTTTTGGCAATGTACATCAGGAACCCCCGTTAACATGGGGCGAGGGGACATGTGATCAAACAGCCTTTATAAAGAGTCCAAACTCCAGCGACACAGAGGGCCCCAAGTGGGGCTGCTGTAAGTGGTCTAAAGCTGTGGTTCTCGACTGGTCATCACAACATTTTACTCACGTCTCACTCACTTCAACCGCTTTTCCATTTTGGTTGGCGGGGGCAACAGCTCCAGCACATGTCATGGTTTGAGGTAAACTGCCTGCGTAATCTAAAGAATTCTGATCTTCACATAAGTCTCCTACAAAAACAGGTAGTTGTATCAGGTGATCAAAAAGTTTTGTGGTTGTGGCTGTCGTCCTTAAAAACACTGCTAGGCGATCACCATGTGATCCACCATGTCATGAGCTGCGTGGAGCCAAACAGAGACAGTGGAATTGTTTAAAAAAATTATAATTGGCTATAATTATAATTGATTATAACTTTAGAACTATACATTTTTAACAATGTTGAGTTTTATAAAGTTGAATGAAACAAAACAAGAAAGCTCATGTTTATATCTCAAACAATCATTTAGAATCAATAGAAAGTGTTTAGAAAACTTGTATGTCTAAAATACTTACTCACATAAATGGTTCTGATTCTGATTCTGGTGGTTGTTTGACCAAAGTACCTTTTCATGCTCTAGGTCTCTGTCTCAAGAAATCCTGTGAGCATGCAAGATACCGTTATCATATGTACATCATATTTACATGTCACCAGGAGGAGAAACAGCCATATTGTTGTGTCGATTGGTTTGTTTGCTGTGAATCAATGTTGTTATTATTTTTTAGCATGGTTTGTTTTATGTGCATATTTTTACACCCTTTAATTTTACCAATCATATAGACTCAGATCTGCTGATGGTTTATAGTTGCCCTGTCGACACACCTCCAGCACTTCAGATAGCTTTCTCAGGACCTGGTCGTGGCGCCATCTGTAGCGCCAGTGTGAAAGCGCAATCGTGCAGCCTGAAGATGTGCTGGAGGCTTGCGTTGGGGGCATTGCAGAGTGAGCAGCATTCTTCATTCCCAAACCACTGGTGAAGGTTCCGAGGACAGGGAAGCGCGTCGTAGGTTGAGCGGATGAGAAGTCTTGCCTGTGGAATCTTCCACACGTCTGACCAACTGATGTTCCGGTTTGCAATTCCCTCCCAGGTTGTCCAGCTTCCTTGTCAACCCTGCAACACAGCCTTGATCTTATAGCGATCTTCCTCCACGCGTGGCGCCTCTCCCCATCCTAGCCCTGCTCTTCCTGCCCGGACTCTGCCCCTGATCTCCCTGTGTTGCAGCGACCAACAGCTTGGTCAACCTCGGTTTGGGCATTCCACTTGCGGCCGGTTGGGACCTTGGCGTTGGCATTCCTTAGCGACCGGTCGGTGATTCTTTCCAAAAAGACCTGTTTCAGATAGGCACCGTGGCAGCCCCAACCACTTTCGGATGAATGAATTGGCTTTTCCATCCATCTTACTTGCGGTCGATGAGGGGATCTCACTCATTTCCAGGGGCCACGTTACCCTCCTGCAGAGTGTAAACTGGTAGCACCAGACCGTGTACTTCCCAGGGAGTTGGCTTTGGTCGATCCTTGTCAGGCCGTCAGACAGCTGTTTCGTGACGGTTTTCCCCATCTGCTTGTCAGACAGTTCTGCAGCGTACTGCCTCCCCAGGCTTTTGATGGGTTGCTCTGATAGGAGTGGGATTTTTTCTCCTCCAAAGACAAATATGGTGCTGTCATTTCTGACTCTCCTGACATATTCCATGTAGCTCCTCAGTAGGGGTATCCTCTGACCAGTTTGTAATTTGATCCCTCCAACTATTTGTCTTGCGCCGATGAGGATTATCTCAAAGGCTGCTACGAACAGTATTGTCTATTACAAACCAACATACAGACAGCTTCAGCTTCAGCCTGGTTCACAGGGATCAGCTGATAGCTGAGGCAGTGCACTGTGGAGTAAACTATGGCCATAATCTCCACTGGGTTTACAGGTCAGATCAGAGCCTCTCAGACCGGTGAGGAGACAGTCAACAAAGGAAAGCAAGTTGCTCAGTTAACTTATTAGCAGTATTTCTGTACAAAAAAAACCCTCTTCCTATCAGATGGATAGTTGCTGGTATGGGAGGATAGATGTCTGTTGAAGGCTTGTCACTAGGTGGCACTGTCTGTCGTTGATGCCAGTTTCTTCACTTCAGTTGGCACAGTGCTCAGCATATACAGGATAAAAGAAGGCTTTGATATTATATGCAATACGAATGAAAGAACTGGCAGTATGAAAAGTGTAGGACTACATAAAAAGTAGGCAATGCAAATTAAGAACCATGTATTAGGTTGTATCATATCAGCAGCGCATTACCATTATTACATCAGTTATTATATTACATTGCATTGAATATAGGATTTAGCGTGTTGGATGCAGTAGACGGTGGAGTCCAACCCTGTGGGGGGTCTCCTCTGGGGCAGAGCAGAGATAGACACAGGAGACAAGGTGAGGCAGAAGGAAAGGTCTTAGGCACCAAGAAGTCATACACAGGACACCAGTCCGTAGGCAAACACATCCTACAGGGAGCAGGCAAAAATCCAGAAAGTGAGAGCAGGGCAAAGTCACAAACCGCCGAAGCAAACACGAACACTGAAGCATGCTGGGTAGGACAAAGACAGTCGGGATCCAGAACAGAGATATCAGAGGAGCATGTGTGAGAGGGTTGGTCGTGGGATTAAGAGTACGTGAAGTGATAAGACAGGAGAGCCCACTGACAAAATAGTGTACAGGATTAAATGGGTAACCAGCCTCTGGCAATGAGGACCATTTGTCTTTTTATGGGTTATTTTACATTGTTACATAATGCAAAATATTTTTAACTACAGCCAGCAGAAGAGCACATCCACAGGGTGATATAACATTTTCACACATAAGGGGAAATATGTTGACCCATGTAAAATGCTCCACATTGCTTATGGTATACTGCACACAGCGTTAATGGCTCCTGCAAATCCATCGGGTGGAGATAATTAGACATTTATTGAAAAGTGTGGGACAAATTAGGCGCAGGCAAATATTCACCTAATCAAGATGACACATATTTATTACTTAAAACAGTCAATGTTAACTCTCTTCAGACTATTGGAAAGACTGAAACAACTGTATTTCTTCGAAGGCCAAAACCTATACTCACAATCCTCGTGCTGTAGTAACCTTGTCAGATTAAATATTTGTACACAAATTATGTCTGAATTAAACATTTTAGGTTTGTAGTGTGAATGGGCTTTTCTTGGTATAAAGTTATTATTTTAAGAGAAATCAATTTGATAAGTACTTGATATGGTCAGAAAGTCATAACAGGTTTACAACAACAAAACCCCTTTTTATCAAGATAATTAAATAAAATAACATTTTTTATGAAAAGGTTGTGCAACATAACAAAGTCATCCCATTAAGTTACATTACATAGCTGCTCAGGAACCAGACTAGTGGTTTAACCACATGCCTGTACACTTTCACATACACTAAGGCAGTTGTGTACAGAATGATATCTGCTCACCTGTGCACTTTTTATTTTTAATTTAATGCTTCTTTATTTTTTTTCTTCTATATCCCTCCAGCCCATAGCCTTCTATTTCATACCGAAGAGTTAAACTGTAAATTTGTAAATTGAACATGCCACTTTTCTTGCACATGTTATTTGTCTTGTTGTCCGCTGCCTCATTGTCTTACTGTCCGTTATGCACAGACCGCATGTCAAATACCTTGAACATATTTTGGATCCCGACAAAGAATCCAGAGGCCATCCCATCTGAAGTAAGTTCTTAAATGCTCAAACAGGAATTTCAATGTCCCCTGAAACAAATGGTGAATAAATCTCCTCTGTCCTCAGAGAGGATCATGTCTACATCTCTACTGCAGTCCTGCTTTTTGACAATTTAATTCTTGCTTTTTGAAGAGCACTTGCTGACTATAACATGCATATTTCCCCCCCCCCCCCAGCATGCTCTTTATTGAGCTCTGGGGATTTTCAGGAGTCCAGGTACTCCTCGGAATGTTTATGCCATCCATCGGATTCTTATTATACCTATAGGTGATCCGAACAGATTCTCTGTTTCTGCTGCCAATGTACGGCAGCATAGTTATCCATTCCCATCACGCCCTGCGGTCCAAACAGAAGCCATCTGGGGTTCCGTGCAGTACATAACATCTCCTTTCTGCACAGCTGGTGGTGCTCTGCGTGCCGCATGCATTGCGGGGGATGTCAAACGAATAATGAAGTGGGCGTGTAACGTTGGACGCCAAATGAGCGGGGGAGCTCCGACATGTGCAGCTAGTCGAAGGTGCTTGTGTTGCAGGACGCCCCCCCCCCCCCCACCCCCCCCCCCTGCCCACTCCCTCCCTCCCCCCTCTCCCCCTACCGGCGCACTAAAGGTGACCGGGAGCCGCTCACGGCTCATTATTGAATGTCTTCACATCGAGCGGCGGTGGGAGGCGGATGGGAAGATTTACTGCAGATCCGCTGCGTCTTCTCGGGCAGGCTGGTCCGCGTGTCGACGTCTCAGATGCGGTCAGGATGGACGCGCCGCCACACGCGCACTGAGCGTTCCGCACCTCCGGGCGGCTTCTTTTCTCGCTGTAGCCGCGTTTCCATCCCCACTTAGTTTCGCCTCACCTTGCCAGTGACGCTAAAACGACGCGCATGCGTTTGCGCTTGGAATAATTTTACATCCTAAATCGCCTCCCCGAGACCTTGTGTCAAAGTCGTCGCCGGGACCGGAGTCAGTGATGGGGACCTGTGCGGAGCGCGGATGCGGGGGCTTCTTGTGCCTGTCCCTGCTGGCGTCTGTGGCGTGCGGGGCGCAAAGGTGAGACCTCGTTATCACATCGTACGTTCTTATTGCACACGGGCCCCCGTAACGTCTCCCGTTCCTCTCGCCAGAGCCAACGAGCCCAGCAACATGTCCTTTGTTAAAGCCACGGTGGACAAGCTGCTCAAGGGCTACGACATCCGTCTGCGGCCCGACTTCGGAGGTAACTAGTGCCCGGTGTCCTCTGCGCGCATGTCGCTAACATGTGCGCAGCGCTCACACTCTGCTCTCGTGCCCCCTGCAGGCGCTCCTGTGGATGTCGGCATGAGCATTGACATCGCCAGCATCGACATGGTATCTGAAGTCAACATGGTAAGTCACACACACGCGCACGCACGCGCGCTGTCCCTGCATTATGAGATGGCTGCCACGTGACACATGGCTCCCAGTGCGCTCTGCCCCAAACAGACGGACACGGAGGCATCCGCGTGCGCCCCCCCGCGCGCGCGCGCGCTCGCGCTCACACTTTTCCGCAATGTGTCCAAGCCAATTCGTATGCATCGAGTACTTCCCCGCGGTGCCACAACCGGCGGAGGCTGAGAATAACCGGGGAGAGACCGACACGGGGAATCAGATCACGTAGCTCTCCCTCTCTTTCTCTCGAGGGAGGGGAGAGAGAGATCTATCCACCCATCGATCTCTAGATATAGATATAGATATATGTCATTGTATGTGCTGTTACTTGGCCTCAGTGCAGTGATTGTATAACAGCTGACAGTGAGGCAATAGAAGGCCCCAAAAAAAGCAGTGTCATAAAATGCAGCCTATTGCTAATATAGTCAACTGTATTATTATACAGCCCTTTATAGTCCACTCATTATTTAATACGTGGCTAATAAGAAGCTTTAAAAAAACACCACTGAGGCTTGTTTTGAATAGTTTGGTAGAAAATGTTCCGGCCCGTAGTCACATTGTGATTGTATAACAATATGCAAAGAAGGTCCAAAAATCTATTTAGATCACAAACAAAATAGGATGAGGCTTAGTTGGAAAGAACAGGCCAATCATATGACATCCGTCCCTCAAACAATCTGCTACTTTTAGCCACAAGGGTGGTGTGTGTGGTGCCCCCGCCCTCTGCTGCACAGCAACCAGCCATTCACAGGCGGAGCAGGTGATTTCACATCCATCCCGCCGCTGGGCAGCGCTCCCAGTACACAAGCTAAAGACGCTTTAACCTCCGTCTCACTGGGACTCAAAAGTCAGGGCAGGAAGTGCCGGAGGGCTTTCACATGGAGCTTTGGTGTCCTTCAGGTTTCTGTCAAAGCAGAACACTGCAACGGGGCATTTTGTCTCAAAAGCCCAGACGCCGTTATCTTTTATCGAGTGGTGAAATTGTATTGAAATTGTGTCCATTGCTACACACTTGACGAGCATCCCCACATTTGCAGAATTTGGTCATCATGGAATTATGCATGAAATATATGTTAATAATACGTATATAATAAGGCAAGCTTTTCTTTCTTTTTAAAAGAAATGTGGATGTGAGTAATATGTCATTTTGATGCTGCTAGCTCAACAGAATCTACAGAGTATTTTAAAATGAAGATTAAATGCTTTTTATATAAGGCTTAAAGTTAAGCGGCTAAAGGAAACTACATGTTGTTTGTAGCCCACAACGATAGCTTTTCTCCTTTAGCAATTATTTCTCATCTTGTTGAAAGATAATATCCACATCATTAGCATTGTTTTGTAACTAGTCAATCAGATGTGCCAATGCACCAATTCTATTCCACCTTGCAGATGAGACTAATGTACAAACAACCATCTTGACTTGATTTTAAAGTGTAAGAATTGATATTAATAAATCATCAAGTTACTGCTGCTCTTCTTTGTGTGTAATTCATTTGGAAATGTTTTCAAAAATCCCCTGAACTCATTTTAAATTTCTTTTGGTGATTTGAGCTAAGAAAGTTAAAAACACTTTGTGAAAGACTGTCAGTAATTCTTTCCTCTTTTTTGCATTTAGCCAATATGTTTCCTTACTTTCATCCTAAAGTCCCGGCCGGCTCTCGCCGCGGCCTCCTGGTTTTTAAGCACGCAACTACTCCCTGGTGTTAATGCAAATTAATTAGATTTCCCCCTAGTTGGTCTCCCAGTAAAAATATACTTATTTATACATGTGCAAAATGCCAAAGGGCAGACAAAGAAGTATGAGAAGAATGAACGAAACAACAAATCTCCCATGAAAACATCCCGAACCAACCTCCCTACTGACGAGCTGGAAGGACTATTAAGTGTAAACTCATATCACATATTCATGGACGATGCAACGCTTTCATACAATCCCTTTAATAAAAATAATATTGTTATACTTGCTTTTATCAGTGAAATATGTGTGACAGTCACGTCACACGTGTGTGACTGCAGGCAGCATATGCCGAGCTACAAAGACTCACAGATGCATGCACCAAGCAGAGCCCGGGCACACAACGCACACCTCTTTGTGGTCCAGCCCAGGCTGGCTCCTCTGCGTCCAGCATACACAGATGCACTACAGAGCCCTTTCAGTTCCTGGCGTGGTGGCAGTGGAAAAAATATATCTGAGACATCTGACTGTAGGAATGCAGTGCTAAATTGGTGGAGTACTCTTGTTGGAATGATTGTTGGAAAGAAAGGTTTCAAATAAGAAATTTACTCTGGGGAAAAAGAACTGTGCAACTCATGGCTCTTCTAGTCATGGCTCTTCCATTCATGGCTCTTCCACTCGTGGCTCTTCCTCTCATGGCTCTTCCACTCATGGCCCTTCCACTGATGGCTCTTCATCTCATGGCTCTTCCACTCATGGCTCTTCCACTCATGCTCTTCCACTCATGGCTCTTCCACTCAAGGCTCTTCCACTCAAGGGCTTTCCATCAATGGATTTTCCATCTAATGGCTCTTCCACTCAAGAGCTCTTCCTCTCATGGCTCTTCCACTCATGGCTCTTCCTCTCATGGCACTTCCACTCATGGCTCTTCCACTCATGGCTCTTCCTCTAATGGCTCTTCCACTCATGGCTCTTCCACTCATGCTCTTCCATTCATGGCACTTCCACTCATGGCTCTTCCACTCATGGCTCTTCCTCTTATGGCTCTTCCTCTCATGGCTCTTCCTCTCATGGCTCTTCCTCTCATGGCTCTTCCACTCATGGCTCTTCCAACTTTGGAAGACCATTTGTAGTTTTGTCTACAAGTACAATTTCTGGCTACCCAATGCACTCATACCATCATGATATGAGGGGGAATGTTCTGTATTTGGGAGAAATAGAGGAATGCTTGTTGGGAGTTTAAAAAGGAAATGATTTATCATCTGGGAGCTTGAGTGATCTCAGTCTGTTTCATGTGAAAAAAATGAATTTGCGAGTGTAAGTAGAAAAAAGATATAGTTCTCATTATGGCCTGAGGGGAGAGCGAAGGATGACTGAAATAATGTCATTCAAATGCAGCTATTCATCTCACATTCAATGGACAAAGTAGTTCAAAGCTCAAGGGTCCTTTGAATGATCAGGATTCATTCTCTGGGGACCACGGGTATTCACACCAGTTTCCTGGCCCATGTCCAGTAGTTTATCTTTTCTGGACCAACACATTGCATCCAAGAATATACCAACTTATCCCAGTTAACATAAGGACAAAGAGTGGTGGAGGAGGCTGCCTCCGTAAGATGTCGCTGAGGACATTTCTCATGTCCCATTGTGACAAATCAAACAACCATTCCATTTATTGATGTGAATTTGACAGACACGAATTATAAAGGATGCTTGGGAAGCTCAACTGAACTTGGCAGTCATTTAACAGATTTCATGGGGATTTTCGATCATTGTCAGGCCTGTACCGGCCTTAGTCATCAGACATGCTGTGCCGTCAGATGCAAGGGCAGCTGATGACTCTTCCACTCGTTGGTCTTCCTCTAATGGCTCTTCCACTCATGGCTCTTCCACTCATGCTCTTCCATTCATGGCACTTCCACTCATGGCTCTTCCACTCATGGCTCTTCCACTCATGGCTCTTCCTCTAATGGCTCTTCCACTCATGGCTCTTCCACTCAAGCTCTTCCATTCATGGCACTTCCACTCATGGCTCTTCCACTCATGGCTCTTCCTCTAATGGCTCTTCCACTCATGGCTCTTCCACTCATGCTCTTCCATTCATGGCACTTCCACTCATGGCTCTTCCACTCATGGCTCTTCCTCTTATGGCTCTTCCTCTCATGGCTCTTCCTCTCATGGCTCTTCCTCTCATGGCTCTTCCACTCATGGCTCTTCCAACTTTGGAAGACCGTTTGTAGTTTTGTCTACCAGTACAATTTCTGGCTACCCAATGCACTCATACCATCATGATATGAGGGGGAATGTTCTGTATTTGGGAGAAATAGAGGAATGCTTGTTGGGAGTTTAAAAAGGAAATGATTTATCATCTGGGAGCTTGAGTGATCTCAGTCTGTTTCATGTGAAAAAAATGAATTTGCGAGTGTAAGTAGAAAAAAGATATAGTTCTCATTATGGCCTGAGGGGAGAGCGAAGGATGACTGAAATAATGTCATTCAAATGCAGCTATTCATCTCACATTCAATGGAGAAAGTAGTTCAAAGCTCAAGGGTCCTTTGAATGATCAGGATTCATTCTCTGGGGACCACGGGTATTCACACCAGTTTCCTGGCCCATGTCCAGTAGTTTATCTTTTCTGGACCAACACATTGCATCCAAGAATATACCAACTTATTCCAGTTAACATAAGGACAAAGAGTGGTGGAGGAGGCTGCCTCCGTAAGATGTCGCTGAGGACATTTCTCATGTCCCATTGTGACAAATCAAACAACCATTCCATTTATTGATGTGAATTTGACAGACAAGAATTATAAAGGATGCTTGGGAAGCTCAACTGAACTTGGCAGTCATTTAACAGATTTCATGGGGATTTTCGATCATTGTCAGGCCTGTACCGGCCTTAGTCATCAGACATGCTGTGCCGTCAGATGCAAGGGCAGCTGGTGAGTTCATGTTTAGGTGATGCGACACAAGGCTTTGCTGTACGCCGCCGAGGTCCAGCTCCTTCTCTCAGCATGTACACTGATGATATGTGGCAACGATTCAGCCCAAGTGTAAACACCTCTCTTTGCAAAAAGGACACTGCGTGCATTCTTGTCTTGGGAAGCATATTTGTCTTGTGGATGTCAAACACTGGCTATCTCAGCATTCCAATCACAAGGGCATCTCTCTGTAGTATGGGACGTAGCTCAACAGAATCCAAGAAACTTTCATTGTCAAAGGAAGTTTCTCATATTAGGAATTTGTTCTGGTGCATAAGAGCTCTCAACCTCTACAAGGTCAG